CAGAGGCTTCCGAGGTACGCGTGAAGGAGTGGTGGACAGCCGCCACAGCCCTAGAGCAGCAGACGAGGCTAGGGGCCGAATAGCTCATCGCGTTTGCAGGTGCGAACGCGGCGGCCGGCAGCGCATGCTCCGAAGCAACCGGCCTCACAGCCAAAACCTTCTGGAGATATTATCCCACGACTTCCTCGTGGAAGCCGACCAATGGGCTTCATCTACGCCCATGCTTTCCTCCACGGAACACTCGGGAACCTGGGCCGCCCCGAAAGGAGACACCACCGCCAAGAGGAGAGATTACGTCGCAGCCCCAAGCAGCATAGCAGTCATCGAGCAGGGAGTGGAAGGCATGATTGACCTCACCGCTTCAAATGAGGACCATCAGGCGGTCAAGGCGCATGTCATGCTGCCGCCGTCAGGACGCGTCCATGAGCGTTCCGCCCTCCATAGAGTTGCGCAGAATCCGGCTATGCATGACGACTCAGGGGCACGCAGCAAGTTCATGCAGCTGCTCGCGTACGCGCCCGCAATATGGGATACGACGTGCACCGCGCGGATCACGCACATATATTTGACAGCAGCAATCCATTCCAGTGCGCAGGACGGAAAGAGGATGGCAGCCACGACAGTGCTGGATACAGACAGCCGCATTGGAAGCCATCGACAGACGCGCAGCGCGCATGCGACATACGTGCACACGACGAGCGCAGGTTGCCAGGCTCGGCGAAGCTATGTGCTTCTTCGTCTGGGCGCACTGCGCGCGCCACTCCAGGGGCGTCGATGCGTGCGCGTTCGGCGACCCGCGACAGCGCGACCCACCTGCGCCTTCCACGCCGGCGTGGCACGCGGAGAACAGCATGCGCGCGTGCAGCGCAGCCCGCGCAGATCTCATCGAAACCCTCAGGGAAGCGCACCGACTCCAGCATTCAAGCACCGCAGCACGCAAAGAGGCCAAGTGGCTGAGAACGGCGCGCAGGTCACAAGCGGAGCTCTTTTCTGTGCCAGTCTTTGACTGCGCGACCTTGCGCGGGCGTTTTCTGGGCGAAGTACGTGCGGAGGCTGCTACACTTGTTCTCAGGGCGGGGGGCAGCAAACAGGGAGCGAATACAGCTACACAGCACGTTGATACTACGAATGAACTTACAGGCTGGCGCCATGCAGTACTGCCGCTCCCTGGGTAATCAGCTACTCACGGAATAGTCCAAACATCACGCGGATGAAGTACTTGCTACAGCACGACGAATGGGAGTTGGGCCCAAGAAGTGGATTCTACTGAGGTCACTACCTACAGTCAGGCACCCCAAAAAGCACGCCAGCCTCATACTCCACTGAGGCAGCCAACATCTGGCTAAGGCACTTTGGCAAGGAGGAGCTTAGCGCAGTTTCTCCGATCACGCGCGCCCAGGCAGCCCATTACATGCCCCCTCATTTGCCAGAAGCTGAGGTCGACGGAGTTGCCCCAGAGGAAGTTTTTCTGCCTGCGTTCGCTCAGTTTCCGGAAGCCTGCAAGCGACCCCGCGCTTCAGCTCCCAGCCTAGACGGCATTTCAGGCAAGTTGCTGGCCAAGTTCGGCACCGATTCAGGTCATTTGCATTTTCCGGTAGTCATTCAGGCGGCACTACGCGTCGAGGCGCCAAAGCAATGGAAGGGGGGATGTTCTTGGAACATCTGGATGCGAGGAGGAGGCCCGTCATGGCACATACATTCCAGAATGCATCTCGCCCCATGCGCGCCCCACTCGCAGACGCATTGCCAGAACAAGCGGGATAGACGCAGTTCGAAGGAATCGCAGGCAGAGGTGTCGATATTGCAGGTTTGGCCCTTAGATCGCTTTCCAACCTTGCGGAGGTGCAGCATGATTCAATCATGTATTTGCTAATGGACAGTGCACGAGCCTTTCACAAATTTCTCGGACAACTGGTCATGACTACATGCAACACAGTGAAGGACGTCGCCATGCGACAAGCTCGCAGGGATGACGCCAGCAGCAACGCACCGCCTCATGGAACGTCTCAGCCAGGGCCCCGCTGCTCTGGACGAGGCCCAAGTCGGCCAACATTTTGCCGCCCTTACGGCCTCGTCCTACCGCGGCTCCTGGTTGATTTACCCGGGCTCTACACTGATTGCGTCTGCGATGTTTGGGACGGCCTTCGGACAAGAATTGGGAGACGTGATGCTCAATTTTACCATGGCCGAATGTATCAATCTAGCCAAACAACGACTTGTGGCCCTGCGCGTACTTGCGCGCGTTCCGATTCTTGAGGGGGCCTCCCCCGCCCCGCTCCTAGCACGCGAGCCAGCCGAGAACGCGCACGCAGTGGACATATTCTTTTTTTGACGATGCAGCCTTCGCCGTACTAGGCTCGCCATGCATCTACTCGCCAATGCAGACGCAGCAGACATCGTGGCATCAAGCTTTGTGGAGCGAGGGCTCTGTGGCAAATCGGAGCTGCTCTTCCAGTTTCGGTACCCGCGCGAAGCTCGCCAAAAGCGACTTCTGGAAGACCCGACGGGGCAAATTCCAGGTCAGAACCGAACTAGCATGGGAAGCCACTACACTCGCGGCCCGACGATGCCCCCACCTCGAGGCCATCCTGGACGAGAAAAGAGCCACGGGACCTGAACTTGCCCACAGAGTAGCAGGAGTTGCCCAATCATCTCAGGTCCTAAGAGAACGTGCCTTTCCTGCACTGAACAGGTATCCCACGGCCATGGCCGTCCCCAAGCTACCCAACGACCAGGAAAGCTTGGAAGATAGTGCGACGGACAAGGGAGATCAGCCGGACATCAAGATGCGCTTTGTGGATGCTCTGATCCATCGCCCCAACTTTTCAACGCTGGCGCGGGAAGCCATCCAGAGAGGGGAGTTTGAAAGACGCTTCGCAACAACATGGTCAGGAGATTCCGAGCAGCAGCAGGAGTACACAAACATAATGACCCGGCAGTTCCAGACCAGCAAATCTTATCTGCAATTCTGCGACCCGACCTGAACATGTAATTACGCATGCGCAGGATTCGGCTCCTAGGCAGAGTGCTGCACCACGGCTCTTCCATACTGATAGGCATACGTGCGCATTTGCGCAGGACTTCCGCCCAACATAACTCCAAGAAGCCAACATGTATACACCGTATTCTGGAGGACCTACAACGGTTAGGCACAGTCCACAACACATGCCGTGCACTACCCAGCCCGCATGTCGATATAGCACAATGGGAACGACGTATCTGGACCTCACTCGCGGCATGGAGGCAAACTTCGAAAGTGGCGCAACGCGGAGCGACATGCGCACAGGCAAGGGCGACGCTGGCTGGCAAGGCCGAGCGTGATTTCCTGCAGATCGTGCAGATCAGCGGCTTTCGTCTCCCAGTCGCGCATCCCGATCACCCTCTCCGAGCAGAATAGAGAGAGGCGCCAGGGGCGCATCTATGTCTATGGTGATCCACAGTATTTCCGAGAGCGAAGTCCCTCAAGCAGCGCGTTATACGCATGCACTACACAACGGCACCACAAGTGGGATATGTCATGGGGGGCAATGCTACATGCAGGACTTGCGCTGCAGAATTTGCATCCAGGCGACAGCTTCGTGACCGCCTTCGACTCGTCGAGATGATGCTGCCTCTCGCATTTTTTTACACGGCATGCAGCTCGCAGCATCAGCAGCAGAAGATGCAGCTGCGAGGGGCCGCCAATGCGGCCAAGACCAGCGGAGGGCAGGTCTAGAGCGGTGGCGGGCAGCACACCCAGCTATTCCAGCGCAGTGTACCGACGGCACGCCGTGGGAGTCGGCCTGGGTATTTTACCACCTGGAAGAGAATGAAGCTAATGAGGTCCTGTGCGAATCCAGCTACGAGCGCGCCCCTGAGGCGCTTCTGATGAAGACCTACATCTGGACGGAACGACCTGCCCCGCGGCCCCCAGAAGCCATCGACCCGGCGCTTGGAAATGATCACCACTTCGGACCGCAGGATTCTAAGGGGCCAGCTGCGCAGCGCGTGCCGTGGAGGATGCTATAGTCAGAGGTATACATGCTAAACGCGCACTGTGGGCGACGGCGCACGGGCGACGCGCAGCGCCGCATAGAGAACATGAGCGTGCGCGCGAATGTCACATGCACGGTCTTGTCCAGCGACATAGCGGCCGGTGCGATACGACGCGACGTCGCAAGGCACGACGCATTCCAGATGTGGGCCGAACATATCCGAGCAAGGAGGGCATGGGTCACTGGGGGGCCCCCCGCGTGACCTGGAGCGCAGCGCGATGGGAGGAGCCCCCCCCCACCCCGCCCAGGACCCAAGCCTGCTACTGGGGGGGGTGCCCTGGTGCACGGACAAGCAAGCCCTCCAGCTCGAGATAGGAAACGAGTTGCTGCATTCCCTCATCCTACTCATGGTAGAGAATGTCAGAGCAGGCACTTGCGCGTGACTTGAGCATCCCCAGCCCACTGTTTGGAAAGCGAAAGCAGTTTCCTGTTTCACGTGGCCCCCTCTTCGGTCAATCGATCGCTGCCCGGCTACCAGCGCCACGAATTTTGATCAGAGCGCGTTGTGGGGCGCCCCGTCAGAGACCACAGGCCGAGCCCCCGCCAGAATCCTGGCCCTGAGGCCCCCGAAAATGCACCATAATCTCACTGCCAACCACGGTGGGAGATGTTGTCACGACGGGGGAGTTTACGCCACGCTGTTGGGGAAGAAGGAAGATAACCGAACCTTCAGGACCAGTGCCAGAATTACCAACCCTGACGGAATGCGCGCAGCTATCGCTCAGGCAATGCACGAGGCAGCACAGAGCGCGCGGCCCCCAGAAGAAGCAGATGTGGCCCCTGAGGAAGGGGAGGATATTCCAGATACCGAGTGATCAGATTTCAGGGTTGACATGTTTGACGATTTCTGGGAGGCCCCAGATTTGCACACGCCGCGACATCCAGGTGACGCGGCGACCCAGAAATTAGCCATTGGTTTCCTCTCCCGTCTTCGCCTCCTGCTGGCCCCCCCCCTCCCTGGCCGAGGAACCCGGCCATCCGCCGCCTCAGGGCCATTCGCTGGCGGCCAGTGCTGCCATCTCCCTGCCCTACGAGGCCGGGGATGAAGATGGCGATGATGATGCTGCTGCTGCTGCTGCTGATGATGATGATGATGATGATGATGATGATGATGATGATGATGATGATGATGATGATGATGATGATTTTCCCCCCTTCCTTTTCCCCCGCTTCGCCTGCTTCGGCCCCCTCCCCTCCTCCGCCCCCTGTCCTCGCTGCCGACCAGTTGGCAAGGATTGCAGCCAACCGAGCTGCCGCCCGCGAGCGACGCCACAGGCGCGTCGCCCCCTGGTCTGGTCGGCTTACCTTTCAGTTTTAGCTTTGTGAGTTTCCCCGGGACACCTCTGTCAGTACCGGCCCCGGGGCTTTCCCACCAGAGTTTTCCAGAGTTGAGCACGTCTTCGCGACGCTGCCATCTTCCGCCGACGTCCCCTCCCAATCCGTTGCCATTTTTGCCCGAGCGCCTCGCTGCGGCGGTGGCGTTGCCGCGCCTGTCGCCCTTTCTTTGGCGGCCGTGTGTCGGCGCCAATCGCCGGTGCCGCCGCTGCGGGTTTCAATGAGGCGAGCGCCCCCCCGCGGTCCGGCTGAGCTGGGACATCATTGTTTCAACGACGCGCCTGGCTTGTCTTATTAACCACAAGCTGACATTACCCTGTCATCCTTGCGGGGTACCGTTCGGCAGTAAATGAGAAGGGACGCGGAGGGGTAGGGCGCCCCCGTCGAGCTCATGTTGTGGAGCGCAGTGCACATTTCGACGATGTCACATTGGTTGTATAGACGTGGGGAACATGGCAAGCGAAACGTGTGTTTAGCATTGAAAGGCAGAAATTGGCCACGCATTGGTACAACAATAAGTTGGCCCTTTCGTGACCAGAAATTGGCCACGAAAGAGGCTTCAGGCCACCTTCCAGTAAAATAAACAGTTGTGTTTGATTCCTGTCGCTTCGCGGGGTGCACGTCTGGAGCACGTACAGTCACGTCGTCGCGGAGCTTCTTGGGAGCCTTTTGGGGGCCTCCTGGAGGCCTCCTGGGAGCTTCCTTGGGCCTCTTGGGGGCTTCTTTGGGGCCTCTACCCCCTCCCTCCTTTTCATACTCCCTCCCCATATTTCCTTCCAGCGCCGGCTCTAATCATGGGCGCCGCTGCGACCAACTTCCACCTGGCTGGCGCTGCGTCGCAGTTCGCCCAGGTTGGAAAAATGGAATTGCACTCCAGTCGCTGTGTGGCCTTTTGGGGGCTTCTTTGGAGCCTGTGGGAGGCTTCTTGAAGACATCTTGGAGGCCTCTTGGGAGCTTTTTGGGACCCCTTGGGGGCCTCTTGGGGGCCCCTTGGGGCCTCTTGGCGGCGTCTTTGGCCGTATTGGGGCGCTTTTGCGCCGTTTCGCCCCTTCGGAGGCCGTCTTGGGAGCCTCTCGCGGCCTCCTTGGGGCCGTCTTGGGGTCCTCTTGGGCCGTCATAGGGGCCTCTTGGACCGTCTTGGGGGCCTCTTTGGGCAGTCTTGGGGTTCTGTTGGGCCGTATTTGGGCCCTCTTGGGGGCTTCTTGGGTTTTTCTGGAGCGATTTAGGAAACTGCTTGGGCCGCCAAGGCGAGAACGCTCAAAGATTATCAGACCATAGGGAAATCAATGATTTTGGCCTCTGGAGGCGCAGTTGTGGGCGCTCTTGGGGCCCTCTTGGGCTGTCATTGGTTTTTTCTGGGCCCCAATGGGGCCATCTTGGACCGTCTCGGGGCCGTCTTGGCCCGCACAGAGCCCATCTTGAGCCGTCTTGGCGCCCTCTTGGCCCCCCAAGAGGCCCAAGAGGTCGAAATCATAGATTTTCTATAGGTTTTGGTAGGTTTTTGAACCCCGGGAGGGGGGGGGGCACTTTGGTCCGTTCCTGTGGCGCAGCTCCCAGGGGGGGGGTAGGGGGGGGGAGACATAATAATGTAACACAACACAACATGCATCAATTATGCAATCATTGGATACATAGGAAACGTTGCATTAAGGCGTTCGCTGAAAAACGCTGCCGCTCAGCACGTCACCTCCGGACGTGGATTCCTCTCGCTTCGCGGGGTGCACGTCCGGAGCACGTACAGTCACGTCGTCGCGGGGCCTCTTGGGAGCCTTTTGGGGGCCTCCTGGAGGCCTCCTGGGAGTTTCTTTTGGCCTCTTGGGGACTTCTTTGGGGCCTTTCCCCCCTCCCTCCTTTTCATACACCCTCCCCATCTTCCCTTCCAGCGCCGGCTCCATTCATGGGCGCCGCAGTGACCAACTTCCACCTGGCTGGCGCTGCGCCGCAGTTCGACCAGAGTGGGGAAAATAACATTACACTCCAGTCGCTAAGTGGCCTTTGGGGGGGGTTTGGGGGGGCCTTTTGGAGGCTTCTCGGGGGCTTCTTGGAGGCTTCTTGGGGGCCTCTTGGGGCCTCTTCGGGGCGTCTTCGGCCGTCTTGGCGCTTTTGCGCCGTTTCGCCCCCTCGGAGGCTGTCCTGCCTGGGCCGTCTTGGGGCCCGCTTGGGTTTTTTGGGGGTCGTTTTGGGGCGATTCTGGAAGCTGCTTGGGCCGTCATGGATCTGCGAAAGTCGAAAAAGACGAGAACGCTAAAATATTGCAAAAAACCATAGGGTAATCAATGATCTTGGCCTCTGGAGGTGCAGTTGTGGGCGCTCTTGGGGCCCTCTTGGGCCGTCCTTGGAGCTTTTGGGGCCGTCTTGGGGGCCTCATGGGCCCCCGTTGGGAATATCTTGGGCCGTCTTGGGGCCGTCTTGGGGCCATTTTGGGCCATCTTGAGGCCCTCTTGGAGCTCCAAGAGGCCCAAGAGGCCGAATTTGTTGATTTGTCATATAATTTGTCGGTTTCTAGGGCCCCGCAAGGGGGGGACCATCTTGGTCCGTTCGTGTGGCGCGACTGCAGGGGGGGTTAGGGGGGAGACATAATAATGTAACACAATAGGCATATGGGTATTATGCAAACATTGGACACATTGGATCCACTGCATTACAGCATCCGCGGAAAACGCTGCCGCTCAGCACGTCACTTCCGGACGTGGATTCTTTTGCTTACGCCACGCAGCCGACCGACCCCTTGGGGCGGCAGCAATCGTCCCCCGCGTGGCCTGTCCGGACAGCCTGTGCGGCTCCTCTAGACACGTTTTGGAGCCCTCTTAGGATTGTCTTGCCGTTCCCCGGGGCCGTTGCTATGGTTTCTGGGGCTTTCGTGGGGCGCCCGGAAGCCGTCGTGGAGCCTTTTGGAGAGCCTGTTGGGGTGCCAGAGGTCGATCTTGTAGGTTTACTGGGCCGCTGTGGGCCTCGTGGAAGCCCAAGAAGCGAATGTGCTGAAAATGCACGCTTCCCCAAGGGAATGGGAAGGTTTTTCCCCAAACAGCTTGCTGAACGGGGTGCTGTTGTGATAGAAGCTAACTCCGGCCGAGGGAAAGCTAAGCAGAGACATCCCCAAACAAATGTGGTGGTCCGGCCCGTTTCGCTTGAGACATCCTCACAACTCTCGTTTCTGAGTTGTCCGGGATTGAGCGTTTCGCTTGAGACATCCTCCTAAATCTGAGCTCTGAGAGGCCGCGCGAGAGGTGGTCCGGCCCGTTTCGCTTGAGACATCCTCCAAACTCTGAGCTCCCAGATGCCGCGCGAGAGGTGGTCCGGGCCGTTTCGCCTGAGACATCCTCGCAACTCTGAGCTCCAAGATGCCGCGCGCGAGGTGCTCCGGCCTGTTTCGCCTGAAACATCCTCGAAACTCTGATCTCCCCGATGCCGTGCGCGAGGTGGTCCGGCCCGTTTCGCCTGAGACATCCTCGAAAAGTTGCGCTCCGGGACGACGCGCGAGAGGTGGTCCGGGCCGTTTCGCTTGAGACATCCTCGAAACTCTGAGCCCCGAGGTGCCGTGCGAGAGGTGGTCCGGGCCGTTTCGCCTGAGACATCCTCGAAACTCAGCTCTGAGATGCCCTGCGCGAGGTGGTCCGGCCCGTTTCGCCTGAGACATCCTCGAAACTCTGACTTCGGAGATGCCGCGCGAGAGGTGGTCCGGGCCGTTTCGCCTGAGACATCCTCGAACTTCTGAGCTCTGAGATGCCCTGCGCGAGGTGGTCCGGCCCGTCTTGCCTGAGACATCCTTGCAAATCTGAGCTTTGAGATGCCGTGCGCAAGGTGGTCCGACCTGTTTTGCACAAGACATTCTCGCAACTCTGAGCTCTCAGATGCTGCGCAAGAGGTGGTCCAGCCTGGGGGCCCAGAAGACCATATGTTACATATCCTCCATGGGACCCTGCGAGCCTCAGGAGGCCCCAGAGAGGTCCAGGAGGCCGCAGGACGCCCAGGACAGGCCCCAAGGGGCCCCCAGGAGATTCCCAGGAGGCTCCCAGGAGGCCCCTCTATCAGAACGTGTCAAGTTAATACTCACCCGGTGTCGATTCGTTGATTTTTCCTGCTCTTGTGCCCCCCCCCCCCTCCATTTTGAGGGGCCCAAACGGCCACAGGTTAGATATCCCCCCTGGGAGCCCCAAGAGGCTTCAGGAAACCCCAGGTGGAGTTCAGGAGGCCACAGGAGGCCCAGGAGGAAGCTCCAGGAGGTCCCCAGGAGGCACCAGGAGGCACCAGGAGGCCGCAGGACGCCCAGGACAGGCCCCAGGGGTCTCCAGGAGATTCCCAGGAGGCTCCCAGGAGGCCCCAGGAGGCCGCCTATCAGAACGTGTCAAGTTAATACACATCCGGTGATTTTTCCTGCTCTTGTGCCCCCCCCTCCATTTGGAGAGGCCCAAACGGCCACAGGTTAGATATCCCCCCTGGGAGCCCCAAGAGGCTTCAGGAAACCCCAGGTGGAGTTCACGAGGCCACAGGAGGCCCAGGAGGAAGCTCCAGGAGGTCCCCAGGAGGCCCCAGGAGGCACCAGGAGGCCCCCGCAACTCGGAGCTCTGAGACGCCGCGCTCGAGGTGGTCCGGCCCGTTTCGCCTGAGACTTCCTCGCACCACGTTTCGCCAGAGACATCGTCGCAACTCTGGGGTCCGAGATGCCGCGCGCGAGGTGGTCCAGCCCGTTACGCTGGAGA